GGGGCAGGCCGCCCACGTGACGCCGGAGCGCGCGTCCCTGGGGACCCGCTCGACAGCGCCCGGGGTCTAACCGCGCTCTGCCCGGACCTTCGAACCAGCAGTCTTATTAATCTTGTATTTGACAAACGTAGGTGGCGTCCATTTACTTTGAAATGTTTGTTGACTTCACCACATTTATCCAGATTTTAAATGCACCCAGCGATCTCACTTCTAGGAGTTTACCTTATAAAAATATTTGGAAACGTTGGTCACAGTGCATGTAATCCATGTATAAAGATGTACTGCAAGGAAGAATGAGAATAGCTGGAGAGATCAACAGGGATGGTTACATGAAATACAGTTAGACGTGTGAATTACTTAGAGCTATATAGTGTTCTATATAGTATTCTATAGCCAGAAGTAATTCACACGTCTAACTGTATTTCATGTAACCATTCCTGTGTAGTGTGTAGTGTGTCCTCTTTAGAGTAAAAAGTTGTTTCTTGAGATACAAATATGTAGGTATGTATTTAAGCCTTTTTTTTTCTTTTCTTTTTTTAAACACAAAACGTAGTGGTTGCTTGGGGGAGTGATGAAAGATTTTCACCCTCATATTTTGACCTTTGCAGCTTTGTTTTTTCTCTGAGTTAAAAAAACACACCACACACCTCATACCTGAGTTCAGTATTGGAAGCTAGGTGGTCTGAGAGTTGTTGTTGTTTCCTTGACTGTCTTCTAATGCAGGGGTTCTTCCCAATGGCCATGCCTTAGCGTCACCTGGGGGTATTAAAAAGTCCTGATGCCCAGACCAATGAAGTAAAAATCTTGAGTGGGAAGAGAGAGAAATATATTTTTTCTAACTTCCCAAGTGATTCCAGTGTGACCTCAAGGTTGAAAACCACAATCTATATTTAATATCCTGACATACTGATCTCAGATCCTTGAGTTGCCCATTGGGCCTGGGGCTGCTGAAACCCAGGAGCCTTGTCCATTTACCCCAATATGTCATGTAAATGACCTTTTTTCCCCCTATGAGTCGGATCAACTAAAAGATTGAGCAGCCCAGAATAATGGATTTGCCTGCAATGCCACTTTCTTCTGATTTCTAGTTTGTTTAGTATAGTTTTAGTGTGATAGTCATATTTTATAAGATAATTTCCCTTTTGACCATTTGTTTCATTGATCCAAGCACAAATTAACCATCTAGTTTTGAAGAATCACTTTCCCAAAGTGATAATAAATATATTTGGTTTTATTATAATTTACATTATCTGTTATTAATCCCAAATTATTTTATTGGCACATGGAGTATGTAAGCAGTCCTCAGTTGGCGTCACTGAGGGACTAAATAAGGTTTGCTACTTATAATGAAAAGTTCTTTTTTCCTTTGGTATAAACTGGGCCAAATTAGCATAAGACACATCTTAGATCCGCTGATCTTAAATCTGGTTTTGAATAAACTGAAGACCTCAGTAGATATGCATGAATATATACATACACAAGAATGAGACAGAAATGGAAACTTTTTTTAAATCTCCACCTAAAGTATTAATATGGTTAGTCATGTAAAAGTATAAAATCCTTGGAAGACTGTAGTGGCAGGCTGAATAAACTACCTTCCTCCACTTCTGAGACACAGGTATACAAAGGTACGCGTGCACCCACACAGCACAGGCATGCACATGAGTTAAAAGCAGGAACCCAGAAAGTCCATTTGAAAGTCATTACAGTTCAGAATAAAATTCATGATTCCTACTGTCATTTTACTTTTCTCCTCCCATTCCCCCCTCCCCCCCCTTTTTTCATTAGAACATTTCCAGCCAGTGTAGGCCCAGCTCCCACAAAGTTGTACCTGAGGCCATTCCAAGGCACTTTCTTCTGCCTTTCATCCTTTCCTTTCCTACTAGTGACACCTAGTGGTAGCCCTGGCATGAGTTTTGTTACCTACCACTGAAAACTCCGACTTTTCTTCTGTGATCTTGTCCCTCAGTATCTTGCTCTGTAGTTTCACATGTACCCTCTCACCTGTGTGAGCCCCATGCCTCTGCTCTGAGCATCAGGCTGTTTCTAGGCAGGCTTTTCTCTGACCAAGTCCTTCCCTTCAGAGAGATTCAAAAACTGCCTTCAATCCTAAACCAAAGTCTGTCTTCTGAGCTAGTGAAAACATCTGTGTGTTGCTAGTTTCACTACACGGAGATTTGAAGAGCATACACCAATCTGGATTTCCTATTCTTTCAAACCAAAAAGAGTGATAACATTGCCCTTATTAGGCCATTGGGATTCAGATAATGAGAAAGTGAGGGTGGCTTTAAATATCACCTATCTACTTATGACTTGTAAATGGAAGTCTGTGCAATATTCATACCTGCCTGATATTTCCAACTTGATATTGTAGCAGAAACAGTGGTGCTCACCAAACATCCCATCTACTACCTCACATTTCCCAACCCCACTTACAGTAGGTTGAGACCTGGTGACTAGTTTTGGCCAATGGACTGTGAGTGAAAATGCAGTCTGTCACTCCTAGACTAAAGCATAGCAGAATGATATGATGTCTCTAGTCATCTCTTTTTCTGTTACAACAATTTACATTCTACAAGATGGTAGAGCCTCTACCATCCTGGGTCCCTGAGTGACTATGTGGAAAAGGGACTAACTTCCTCCCCCCCTCAACTCGCCAACTTCCATCAAGCTACAAAAGATATGTAACTTAAGTGAAAAATAAACTTTTCTTGTGTTAGGCCACTGAAATTTTAAAGTTGTTTATGATTGCAACATAGTATATTTAATGTTATCTAATACATAGCTGTCTCCAATTTTGTGTGTTCAGAATTGAAGTAATTTTCTCCCATAAACCTAAACTTTCTTTGTCCCTGTCATATCCATAAGTGACAACCACTGTCCATCTACATGCTTAAGGTAGAAACCTGGATGTCGTACTTACATTTCCCTTTTCCTCACTCCTCCTGTGCAGAAAAGAGTTAACATAGCTGACCTGAGACTGTTATCTTAAGAGGCTCTGCTTGCAAGGTTGGCTCCTTAGCTAATGTCTGGGAACTTGGTGGGTAAACAGTTCCCTACACTGATATAAGACTTTCTGTAAATAATAAAGGTGACTAAACTGTTTGTACAAACAATATGATTTTATAGTGACCACAACCTGCTTTCCTTTGGTACATACTGGGCAGAGGTGCCTATGTAACCAGCCCTCAATAAAAACCTTGGGTGCTGAGTCTCTAATGGGCTTCCTTGGGTGGAACCATTGCAGACATGTTTCTGTAGTTTCATAGTTGGAGGAAGAGCGAGCTCTGTGTGATCCCCCTCCCCAAGAGCAAAAGAGGGTAAGGAAGGCTCCATATGGATTCTTCCATACCCCACTGTGCCCTTTTTCCTTATGACTCTGCAGTGTACCGTTACAACATCTCTGTAATAATCTTAGCACAAGAAGACTATATGAATATCATGAGTCCTTCTAGTAAATCCCCAGACATGATGTGGTCTC